ATACACCGCCACATTTGTGTGTGTGTGTGTGTGTGAGAGAGAGGGAGAGAGAGAGAGGAAACCGTGTGAGAGAGAGAAGAAACGGTGTGCTGACAGTATCGGACCGAAGAAACCGCCCTTATGAACGGGCAACATGAATCCGGAAGCGGAGTGGCATGCACAAAGGACAAAAAATATGGCGGTGTATCTTTCCATGTTCTGGCGGAAGATTCGTTCATACGTTGGGTGGTGGAGAACGAAGGGCCGATGAATCCGGTAAGCACGTAACGTATCTCTGGGAACTTTTTTTTTTTTTTTGGAGAATCTCTGAACAAATGAGACTGAATCCTCCGCTTGAACATGGAAAGATAAATTGCGATATATGGGCCTCGCTGCACTACTCTGGAAATGTGCAAAACAAGAGTGAATCGAGTGAATCTACCGCTGCAACATGGAAATATACACCGCCACATTTGTGTGTGTGTGTGTGTGTGAGAGAGAGAGAGTGAGAGAGAGAGAGAGAGAGAGAGAGAGAGAGAGAGAGAGAGAGAGAGAGAGAGGAAACCGTGTGAGAGAGAGAAGAAACCGTGTGCTGACACTATCGGACCGAAGAAACCGCCCTTATCAACGGGCAACATGAATCCGGAAGCGGGGCGACATGCACAAAGGACAAAAAATATGGTGTATCTTTCCATGTTCTGGCCGAAGATTCATTCATACGTTGGGTGGTGGAGAACGAAGGGCCGATGAATCAGGTAAGCACGTAACGTATCTCTGGAAACTTTTTTTTTTTTCTGGAGAATCTCTGAACAAATGAGACTGAATCCTCCGCTTGAACATGGAAAGTTACATTGCCATATATGGGCCTCGCTGCACTACTCTGGAAATGCGCAAAACGAGAGTGAATCTTGCATTAGAATATGGAAAGATACACCGCCAACATTTTTGTCCTTTGTGCATGTCGAGAGTTGTGCAGCGAGCCCGTTGGTGAACATTACCGTTGAGGTTCTGACAGGTTGGACGCGCCGGGCTTCACTCGTGGAAAGAAATTCTGATGTTCTTCCTTAAAAAAAAAAATTCAGCTCCCCCCTCTTTTTTTATTCCGGGGCCCCGCGCGGCCTCAAATTGTTGTTGTTTTTTTTTTTGCTTCTTGACGCGACATCCCACTTGAGCCTACAACACCCCTCCCCAACTTTTTTTTTTTTTGGCCGACCCCCTATTTTCGGGGTGCGCCGCACCCCATGCGCGCGCGTCGTGCGCGGTGCGGCGCACGTGCGGGATGCCGCGCACCTCGATGCGCCGCAAGTATGATCAGGAGGGATGGGCGCAACACAGAGACAAGCAAGGATCTCAACAACACGCAAGGAGACCTGATCTGAGAAACGGTTCCTGGAAACAGGAGATATTGCAGCAAGGCTCACTCAAAGGATTGTTGGAGTATGGGTACACAGGCTGAGGGCTTAGGGTTTAGGATTTACTATCATTTTAGTGAAGAATAAAATGGGGGGGGGGGGGGGGGGGGGGGTCTTACAACCGAGCGTTTAGAGATTAGGGTTTAGGGTTTA